TCAGCACTTATATATATATATATATATAGATTTTAAAATTTCCTATATTAGTTTAACTCATAATCAAAGTAAATTTGATTTCAAGGATAGTGAGTCATAAAAATCCAAAAAATGAAAATTTTGATGTCGCAATATTAATACAATTTATCAATCTATCATTACATAAAAAGAATAATAGTTTTACAAATTTAGAAATCTTTTTCCGCCAAAATCATTAAATATATTCTACATATAGTAATTGTTGGACATATCTGAATAGGCAAAAAAATCGGCTCATTAATTGTGTAAAGATTTGTTTCTCTTTTTCCTGTTTTTTAGTTTATCAAAATTGTTGTTTGACAATAAATATTTGTTTTTCTTTTTCCTATTTTTAGTATAAATCTACACGAGCTTATCTCTTCTGTTACAAAATCTCATTGCATACGTCTCACGTGTTTAAAAAATATCATCCATTATCTATACAGATTTGAAAAAATAAAATAAAATAGAAACCAATTCATAATTACTACTAGAAATCCATTATCTTTAAAAAGATAAAATAAAATAAAATAGAAACCAATTCATAATTACTACTAGAAATTCATTATCTACTTTAAAAAGCTAATTTTCATCGGTCTAATTACTAATAATTTTATAAATATTATAAGCTAATCATAGAAAAAAGTATAATAATAATTTTGAAATGGTGTGTAATCAAATTTTCTTATATTCTCTTATACAAAATAATTTTACATTGTTTGACCCCGAATCTTTAATTTATAATTATTAAGTATTGTTTATCCTTCTCTTTAATTTATAATTTTTTTTCTTCCTTTTTTTAAATATGATCAATAATAGTTTTCACTTCCACCATTGAGTGACTCAAACTCGAGGTCTATTTATAATATTGTTAATTTAATATTGTTACCGTGCATCGCACGGGGTACACACTAGTTTAGTTCACAGATCTCATCAATATTTGTTGACCAAACGCGCTTTTAACTTGTATATATATACCCAACATTTGGTAGAGGATGGCTCAAGGAATAATTGATTGTATTTAAATTAGAAAAATATTTAAATATATTGAATGTTACGGCTAAGTGATATTAATTGCAATATTTAAGTGATATTAATTGCTAAGTGATTTAGGGGTTTATAGGAATGTTGCAGTCGTAATATTTATTAAGGAAAAATCTTTATTTATATTGTAATCAATAAATACATATTTTTTCATAATAAATGAAAATTAACAAAAAATATAATCAAAATATTTTTGAAATTCGAAATTAAAGCTATGTAGATGGGANTAAAAATTGTAGGTGGGATTTAATTTTTATTCTAGGTAAATACAAACCTTTATTTATGTATAGATAAGTTAAAGGAAGTGTATAAGGGCAAAAAACAAATGAAAATAAGAACACCTTCAAAAAATTAAGGATCACATTTCATTTCATCATGAATCAGCTACCAAGAAAACTCAGTTAAAACATTAAGCTTCACTTAACAATTTGGCTATTATAAATTCAAAACTCTCCACGCCACAAATGAATAAATTGAGATCTAAAACATTAGATCAATAGTTATATTTTCTCAAGCACACTTACTCTTTATAGTAATATTGTTTCTATTATTATTGTTATTGTTTATTACAAAGACAAAAAACTAATTGAAGAAAAGAAATATTGACTATTCGAAGCAGTCATATTCGCAATAACACAATCGTTGTGGGCCGATGAAAGCGCAGTAGCCGGCGGCTCCAAGGAACGGATACTTAAATTCGCACTTCCTCTGGCAGCATTGCTCGTCGCACACTCTTTCCCCACACAAGCCCAACCCAATTTTGCATCGCTTGCTTGCATCGATCGCTTCTCCTAGCCCCATAACTGCATGTGTTAATGTTAAAATTTAAATGATTAAAAATTGAATAATAGCTAGCACACATTTGCAATGTATAATATATGAAATAGTTAGAAGAATAGATTTTTTTTTTTTTCATTACCAGATGCAAAGAGGAGGACGAATAGAATGCAAAAAAATTGGTTGATGATTGCGGCCATTGTATTTTATTTTATTTTATTTTTATTTTTTGGCTAAGGGTGTTTTGAACTGGAGTGGCGTGTGATGTCTCTTATATACTGTGTTATAAATTGAAAGAAAGGAAGATTTCATGATTTTCATAATTATTTTCATCCATTAATAGGATCTTCGATAACAATATGATTTTAAATGTTGGATTTAATAGGATCTTTGATAACAATATGATTTTAAATGTAGGATTTATAAGAATACTAGTGAAGAATTCGTGATTTTCATAATTATTTTCATCCATTAATAGGATCGTCGATAACAATATGATTTTAAATATTGAATTTAATAGGATTTTTGATAACAATATGATTTTAAATATAGGATTTAAAACAATACTAGTGTGACCCTCGATGACATTAACATAATCCCTCCCTATTAGAATGGAAAAATTTGAAGACAAGAAATAAGTTATGTTTGGTAAAACTAGAGCTGGTAATTTAGTTGATTGCTTATAATTGAATTTCAAGCTCATAGCTGATAACCTATAGTTTATGGTTAAAAAGTTAGTCGATATGATAAAAATGTTTAGTAAAATTAGCTAATAAGTCAGTTGAAATAAAAATTTCTATGGCCTTAATTGAAAAACTACTCAAGAACGTTCATGAAATAAGATCGAGCTTTATAAAAAAAACCTGCCATATAAAACCAAATTTATAAGTTAACCAAATTGAGATTAAAATTAGAAGTGTGACTATCTTCAAAACATGTATCATATATTGTAAATATAAATTAAATATATATAATTTGCTATGAGATTAATATATATATATATATATATATATATATATATAAACTTTATGACATTATTAAATATGTTAAGCCTAAAAAAAGAAAATAGTAATTAGGTAGTATTATCGGTGAATTTTATGGTAGAGGTTATTTAATTAAGAGTATTGACGAGATTAAAAAAAATCAGATAGAAAAAATCAATTATGAATTGAGATTTTAAATTCAAACTAAAATTATCTATATTTGTTTACTGTAATTAATTATATATGTTACCAATAGCAATAAATTATTTATCATACATATTAAAAAATTAATATGTACATCCCATTAATAAATATTAAGCATATTGAGTAAACAATGGCAATAAACATGAAAATAAATAAATAATTACAACTGTTAAGGTCATTATATATGAAAATTATCGATGTTCATATTGATGTACATCCCATTAATAAATATTAAGCATATTAAGTAAACAATGACAATAAACATGAAAATAAATAAATAATTATAACCGTTAAGGTCATTATATATGAAAATTATTGATATTCATATTGATTATTATTATTATNANTGGATTCGTATAAGTGATTGTTAGCCATGATTTTTGGAATTGCAGGATCATTTTAAGAGCATCTATAATGCTCAATGTTGTAATACCAAATTACATTCCAAATCTCAACACATTTATTAATATTACAACTTTTCATCCTCCAATGTACAATGTGATCACAAATATTGTGATAATATGGACATAATTAATGTCTGCAATGTAGAGAAGAATGTGGTTCATCCACATTCTCCTCCACACTCTAGTTAGCCAATGAAGAGAAGAGAGAGAATTGCTATTACCATTTTTAAGCTATTTAATTATTTGATTAATTTTATTAATTCATATTAAAATTTTAATATTTAGCAAGTAAATAATATTGTAATTTGACTACATTGTGTATTGAAGATGATTTTTTAATTTAATAGTTGTAAACTCAACATTTGTCCTACATGGTTCACAATCTACTTAATTTTTTGACATTTGTCAAAATTTATCCTACTACAATATTAGAGCATTGGAGATGCTCTAACATCATTTTAAGTTATTTGATATATATTTATATTATGTTTAGTAAAATTTATTTTCTGTATTATCTCTACCAATAATATTGTGAACTTAGAAAAGATACTCCTTTGATTTTCCTACAATTATGGTAATGGCCAATATTATGACCAGGATTTTGAAAATTTTGGTTTTTTTGATGGTTAGATAAATATGGTAACAACTAATTACCTATTTATATGGCATGACTTTGTTGGGAATGATTTGCTGGGTTTTGACAATGATATTCAATTTAATTGTATAAGCGGG